CCTTTTGGTTCAGTTTTATTACATCTCAGCATGGCCAGTAAGTGTTGCCTGAAGTTTCCACACAGGCCGAGATACAGCAGAGGCCTCAGGCTGGCGTGAAGGCAGCCTATAGCAGAGGTGACCATGAGAAGTGTTTTTAGTGAACCTTCAGAACCTTCATGTGAATCGTTAAGATGTTTCTGAAGTCTGTTCTGGACAGTGTCCAAAACAAGTATGAAGTTGTACGGCATCCAACACAGACAGAATACAACCACCAGAGACAGGATGACGGTGATATTTCTCTGCATTCGGGCCCCATTAGAGCTGCACTGCCGCCATAGCATATGTGAGAAGATCATCAGCATGAATGCAGGTAGCACCAAGCCAAATATGTGGTGTAGCAGGCGTGACCACAACTGCCAATCAGTTCCAGATTGAGGGTAGATGTGAACACATGTTTTCTCTTCTGTGTAATTATTTTTAACCACCAGGAAAATCCAGTCAGGTGCAGTGAGGATGACAGAGATAAGCCAGACTAACAGGCAGCTGATATGAACTAACCAGCGCCTCCTGTGGGAATATAACTGGATGCCACGAATGGATGACAGATAGTTTTGAAGACTGATGCAAACCAGCAGAAGGACCCCACAGAAGTAGTTGAGCTAGAAGAAGACAGGGAGAACTTTTAGTGTAAGATACAAACCTCTAACATCTATAAAAATTACACTCGACTTCTTCCCTTTCACATCTGTCCTACTCTAAACTGCTGTTCTAAGCTTGTTCTCATCTTAAACATGTTTTAAGTACTCAGAGGATGTCACGTGTCATGCTGTTGAGTACAATGATTCTGTTCTGCATGTTCTGCCAAGAATCTGCAAACAGCAGGAAATGACAGAGTGCAGCCAAATATAATTCAAGCCAAAACAGCTTTCTGACAGCTTCACAGAAAATGTCTTACTTTACTTTCACTTTCAGTCTCTGTTTCACACAACATCTGGTTCTTACCTTGAAAACGACCCCAAAGGCCCGGCTGAAAATCCCCCAAAACGAGTCACAAAGCTGAGTTGTCTGTGCAGCCCAGAAGGGCAGCATTAACAGGAGGAGGATGTCCGCAATACTCAGGTGGAGAATAAAGGTGTCCGATAGGCTCCACAGTCTCCTCTTTTGAACCAGAACTTTCAGGAGAATAATATTTCCCAGGATTCCAACAAAAAACACTA